ATATAAATGTCAGAACTCAGCAGAGAAACTGACGAGTGTCAACATTCCAACCTGAACTCAAGAACGTTCCGGAGTTCCAGAGAAAACAATCATGTCTTCACCTTTCCTGTCTCTGTAGCGTTCCCAGCTCTGGAGTGATCTGTTGGCTCACACTGCGCCGCCTCACAACCATCAGGCACTGATGAAGACGTCGCTACCTTCAGACAGCTCACACGATTGGTCAGTGAGCCAGCGTAGCTCCGCCCACACACCCATCAGGACACGAACAGGTCCAGACAGGTCGCCACCATCACATCTGTTCTCTCTGCACAGAGCCGAACACGTACTCTGGTGTATTCACAGTACTGCTGTATATACTGTATATACTGAATACTCCGAATACTTTTGCAGAACTGTTTGGTCAACAATAAAGTTCTATCACATTCACCTGTGCTGTAGTACCGATGCCTGGTCTGCAGCCACTTCAACAACACCGGTGATTACTCACAGTTTGATTTTACAGGGGCCAAAGAAGGTTCGAGAACAGGGTTGTCAAACATACGGCCCGCGGGCCAAAACCGGCCCGCTATGGGGTTCAATCCGGCCCACTTGTTGAATTTTGAAAGTGAAAAAAAATGCTCAAACACTTCATGTTGGTGATGTTTTGTCAAATTATATTTTCATTAAATATGAGTAACGTCAGATTCAAATATTCATCTATAGATACACCTGGACATTCCTTCCAATTGTCTCATGTTAAAATTTGGAAAACAACCCAGTTTTGATGAGATTTTCTCACTCACTGGAGACTTGACGGTTAATCAGTAAATCAATGACCATCGTCTGAAACCTGGAAAGTCTACAGCGGTTTAAACCCAGCAGAGCTGCAGGTCTGCAGGTCTGCAGGTCTGCGGACCCCGGCCTGTGGGAGTCTCAATGAGAAATCCACCAATTGAAATTTTGACACCTATGAGCTTCAGTGTAAAGTGCCGGTCGGAGGCTGCTCAGTGTCTTCCCGCTCAGCTCACATGTCATGCACCCTGACGTCAGCGCCATAGATTTTGCAATGAACGTGGGTGTTTGTAAATGTCTTTTTAACTGGCTTCCCGTGTCCTGGGCTGGGGGGGGAGGCGAAGAGGGGCCAAAGAGAGGAGCGC